TTTAAAACAACGAACAGCCACACGATTCGAGAAGGGAACTCATCGACCCCAGGCCTGCCGACACAGCCAGGTTTTAACGGCTTTTCGGAAGGCCTGGAGAGAGGTGAGGGTCCAAAGGGCCGGAGCCGCCACAGAGAAGGCCCTCCCCCGGGTAGTAGCCAGATGACATTGGCTAGTAGACGGGACCCGGAGGAGGCCTAATCTGTGTGATCTAATGGGTCTTTGGGAGGTAATTGGCAGCAGGCAGTCTCTCAAGTACCCCCATGGGCCTTGAGTTTGACACTCCTGTCATATTGCCTGTCCAGAAAAGTCTGATGGGATGCTGTATCAATTTCTTACCTTTTGAGCACAATGCAATCTATATATGAACATGTATGGGGTGAAATTTTCGACAGAAAGACATTGAGGTGGGTTTATAATCAGCCTTTTATCTAGAATTGTTACTACTGATAAATGGACCACATCATTGTTAACACAACAGAGCCCCCTACTTGATGACTGCTGAATTTAGTTGACAGATCTAAACCCATTTATTCTGACCTTATGACAGCACATTGCCCAAATTTGAGAACTGAAACAAGGGTGCTATTCAGTGGCTGAATATGTAAGAGCTTTCCAGCTAATTTCCCAAGATCTGGCCTGGATGAAGCAGCACTTATTAATCAGTTTCAGGAAGGGTTGGCAGATGAAATTCTGGATGAGCTAACAAGACATGCAGGAATTAGTTCAACTGTGCCTTATAATAGTTAACAACAGCAAAAACTTGAACTTGAGTTAACAAACATCTCTGGCCACTAAGCTAGCAAACATCTTTGTCAAGCATCTCTGTCCACAACAGAGTTGGGTTGCTGCTGGTTTGGCCTGGTTCAACCGAACCAGTAGTGGAATTCAGGCCTGGGTTGCAGAACTGGCAGCGACCCAAGCCTGATGAGCCCCCAAACCGCTTCCCTCGCCATCGCTCGGCCGTCGCCATTTTGGATTTTAGTGACTGCACATGCACAATTCACTGTAAATTGTTCTGTGCATGTGCACAGAACAATTTACATTGAACAGTGCATGCATGCATGGGTGTTGCGAACCAGTAGTAAAACTGGCAGCAACTCACCCCTGGTCCACACCTAGCCTTGAGAAAACATCTCCAGAAGAGCCCATGCAGATCAGGGGTTCTCACCCTCATCTGACTGATACAGAAAAGGTATAAAGGTGCAGAGATGCTCTATGTTTATACTGTGGGGGCCAGGACCACCTAGCTCCCATATGCCCTGCCCAGAGACCAGTTCACACATTTTTCTTGGTAGGTTATAATGAAATATTTTTATGCATTTGGGAACACTGCACAGAAGCATGCCTTTAGTAGCCACATTTTACATAGCCTACGTTATAAAATGCTATATAACCAGAAGTGTTTCTAGATATGTCTAATTAGTTTAGAAAGAACAAAGTCCTGAATTACCTCAAGAATCATATTAGCCATCACAATGCAATGATTGTGGAACCCACCCATATCTGATCCACTTTAAGATTTTAAGAACAATGCTTGTTTCTCTGTATTGCTCAAAAGCAGATAAATGTTACTAAAAAGCCTGTGGCGGAGAGAGGGGTAGCATCAATTAAATAATGTAGGAGAGATGTGAAATTAGAATTCACATTTTCAGGGTATTGTCAATGAAACATGTTTATGCCATACAAAATGCCGCTTATCAAAATAGAACACTTCAGTTTTCTGATACAGAGCCAAAAGTTCTTACTTTCTAAAAAATATGCCCATAATTATAACATACAATTATGCTTTCACTTGATTTTGTATGTTATCTATTTAGTTGTCACAGAAAACATAGTAATAACCAGTTGTCTACTGTTAATTATCAACAGCTTGTGCACATTTAAGATCAAACTCCTTAGCTAGTGCACATTTGCACAGTCTCATTAACTGCCACAGAAAATGTTGATTTCCTGCAGTCTTTCCAAATATGGCATCCTTTGGATGTATTGGGAATTAAAGTAACAGGGAATTCTGGAAGCTGTAATCAAGATCCTTGTGAAGCATATCAAATTGAAATAATAATTGATTTCATGGTTGATCACCAAACTCGCACATTCATTTATAAGTCTTTTTCGAATCCCCTTTTTTTAACTTTTCAGATTTGTTCAAGGAATACTGGGAAAAAAGGTAAGTAAGCTGAGTTTTCTGAGCAGTATATATATATATGATTTCTTTATATCTTATGTTTAGGTTTTTTAATGCAACAAAATGATCTTCCAATATGAAACCATGTACTGCCTAGATGGCGAACCTTTTCTTGGCACTGAGTACTGAAAAGGGACCGTGTGTGTTTGCTCATAGGGGCCGCAACCTAGAAGAGAAGCTGACCAGGGGGCAAGCACATGCCAGAAAATGAACTTCTGGTTTCCGATGCGTGCATGCACGCCAGCCAGATAGTCTTCCAGTTACCGACGTGCATGCATACGCAACAATCAGCTGGCAAGTGTGCATACTCCTGCCAGAAAACGGAAGACCAGCTCTTCCACTTTCTGGCACTGCCGCATGCATGAAGGCCAGATGATCATCACCCAAAATCTAGAAGAGGAATGTGTAATGCCGCGTGCATCAGGCGACATGGCTCTGTGCGCCACTTCAGGCATGTGTGCCATAGGTTCACTATCACAGGCCTAGATGTTTTATATTGAACTCCTGTTTCTATGTTGCTACAAATCAGGGATTATACGCACTCATCAGATAGGACAACAGGATGTCTCATATTTTGCCTAGAATGTTATCAGACTACAGAAGGTATTGCTTTAGTTTTTAAAGTTCTGCCAAAAGTTAAAATCAAACTGAAAGTTCTAATCTATTAGAAACAGAACGTTATTAAACATCACCTCTAATTAATTATGTATGAATACTATACAACTATAGTTTTATTCTGGTCTTTACATTTTATTCTTGTTCCCATCCAATTTCTTTTTGTACATGTGACTCTATACAGCTCCCAGGAACATAGCTTTCTTCTCATTTTCAGATTGACTTCTAAAATGTTGGAGGTGTAGATCAAACGATGAGCCACAGGTGATGAGAGGAGATAGAAAACTTTACCTTTTTTAAAAAAGTAGCCAGAATGACATTCAAAGAATTGAGTCAGTTACAATCATATTTTGGGGGGGGAATGAATTCTGAACTTAAGAAAATTAATTTCAGTGAATGTAGTGAATTAATTTCACTGTCTCTTTTAGAAATTATTTTTGTAAAGTAGGTCATATCAGTGGCTTATTTACAGGCTTGTTACGTGGATATTTTGCTTTGATAAAGATATGGAGAAGTATTCATTATTGATACTTTCCCCAAATAGCAATTCTGCCTTATTTATTTAAATTGTTTTCTAGATAACTCCCCGCAGTATATCTTTTAGATTGCATTTAGTTATCATTATAAATATAAGAAAATAATAAGTTTTATATACATATTAATCTTGTGCTAGTTATGAATCAATAGACTTTCTAGAATCAAATAGATTATTAGTATATATATATGTATATATATATATATATGTATATGTATATGTATATGTATATGTATATGTATATGTATATGTATATGTATATGTATATGTATACTATATAGTATATGATTATTAGTTTAAGCCTGAATTTGCATACACTTAGGACTTTATTTTTATTAGCTAATAATCACTATTTTGCTATGTTACATTATGTTTTCATAATAGTAGGGTTGAAAATGAGCTTAAAGCCCTTTTAATTATGGTTTAATAGATGATACATATACAGCCATAGATATAGCTTAAATGCTGTTGTGCTCACATATTTATTGTCTATTCGTTCTATTACTTGAATATCCTTAGTATCCAAGAATACTTCCTATAGTAACACCCCGTTTTGGGCCATCTTGTACAGAGGAATTACTTAGTAGCCTTGGTAACCTGGCAGAGACTCATGATATTCATATACAGGTAAACCTTTTGTTATTGTATTTACTAAGATGTTATTCACACAATAATTTTCAGAGTACGGTCCTCTCTCTCTCTCTCTCAAATTAAATTGTGACTCTCTTCTTTCTATAATCTGCTCTATATAATCTTCAAAACCATCAATCATAACTTCATTTTTTTACAGAAAAAGTCCACAAGGGCTTTCCAGTCACCAGTAAATGGACATATGGTTTTTTCTCTATTTAAACAAATCAGTGAGTTCCATCATTTTCACCAACCATGCTTCTGTTGTAGGCATTGCTGAATCTTTCCATTTTTGTGTATACAATAATCTTGTTACAGTTGTCATATATTAAAAACAACGTTCCATGACTTTTTTCACAATTGTTTAGCCATTGATCCCAAAAGTTCTGGTTTCAATTGAATTTATCCTCTGAATATCTATGTGTGTTTGAACTCCAAATTTTCTAGCTTTTTTTGCACATCCAGCAAACATTAAAAAATGACCCTTCTTGTAGTTCATATTTCCAACATTAATTTGAAGTATTTTATACATTCTAGATAGCTTTTCTGGTATCTTATACCAACAGTACATCATTTTATAAAAAAATGTCTTTAAGATTATAACATAGTGTAAATTTCAGCCCTTTCAATGAAATATTTTCCCATTGTTCCAACAATAAATTATAATAAATTTTATATACCTTATCATACATTTCTCCACTTGTCCTTGTTTTGTCCCAAATTTCAATAAAATTTTAGTTCCTCATTTGTATGCAAATCTCTTTCAAATCAATCTTAAAATGTTCAATGTTGTAAGCTTCCCAGAGTTGAGGCGGGCAGCAAATAAATTTTATAAATAAATAAATATAATAATTATTATTATTATTCTTTAAATCCTTTGAATTTCTGTAAATAAGGAAACCATTGTCACATTTACCCCTCTGCCATCCATTCTGCTGATTTTATTCTGTTATCTCAGGTTACGTTAGCCATTTGTGTTTGCCATTTATTTCTTGTCTATTACAAGTAGTCCTTAACTTACAACTGTAATGAAGTCTGCCCATATGATTGCCTTACTTAATGACCTATATTCATGCTCTCCTTGTTGTGGTCATTAAGTGACTGCATGGAGTATTAAGTGAAGGACAGGGTGACTTTGGGTTCTGAGAGGCCTAGTGCAGGCCTATGCCTACATGCCCTGGGCCTGCACTAGGCCTCTCCCACCCCAAGGCACCCCTACCTTCAGTTTCCTTGCAGTCCTAGGAGGCCATTGGCTTCTCACCCCACTGGGTCCCACTCACTCCTCCCTCTCACTCACTTACACTTTTTAGTTCTCCTTCTGGAAGCTCCAGGGATCACATTGGGGAAGGAAAGCAGACTGCTCTGCCCCTCGGCCTCCCTACAGTCCACATGTCTCTGTCCCGGAAGCGGGTTGCCTTTTGGGGAGAATTGCACAGAAAGATCTTGCTGCATTTGTGTTGTATTTTTACTATACATATTACTGCCTATGTTAAAGTCAGTGGCATGAATCTATTTAGATGCAGTATTTGAAGACCATTATGTCTGTAAGCTGGCCCTGAGATCAGAAAACTATTCTAGGTAATTTGAGAAGACTATTTTGATGCTAGATACCATTATGTTGGTCCTTTCCCTTGTTTTTCCATTAGCCTATCTTTTAGGTAGAATATGACTCTTTCAAAAGCACTCTGATGAGTCATTCAGCCTCTGACATTCCCTTTGAGAAAAATAAATCACACTCAGGAGCTTAGGACTAGTGAATTGCTATTATGTTGACATTTAGCTTCTGGAAAATGGGAGTTCATTACTATTAGATTGTGATTCATATTGCTTTTAAATTTGTACTGTTATACTTCCTTGGGTTGGGTGAGCTGGAAATGGAGTTATTTATTTTTATTTCCTGTCTTTATTACATTTTTATAAATAAGTCAATGCAGCAATAAGTCCTTCCTCCTCCTGTTCTCCCCACAACAACAACCCTGTGAGGGGAGTTGGGCAGAGAGAGAGTGAGATTGTCCAAAGGTCACACAGCTGGTTTGCTTGCCTAAGGTGGGACTACAACTCCCAGTCTCCTGGCTTCTACCTTGGTACATAACCACTAAGTCAAAGTGGTTATTTAATTATTATTTATTAATTCTTTTCTTTCATGCAACAAAACATGAGAGAACTTCAAAGACACAATTCAATGTTCACTTTAGTTCTTTGAGAAAAAGATAATCTTCTAGTCTATGAAATAACAGCTCATTATTAATATGAAGAAAATGGCTCGTGGGGATTCTTTGCTCTCCAACGATTGGGCACACCACAGCATAGCAAATCTATACATAATTCCAACAAGCAGCTCTTGCTCTTTATTGTCACTCCACCCCTCTGTATTGTCACATCTTGAAAGGTAATGTTGCCACGTGAATGTTTTTAATGCTCAGACCTTAATAATCAATCTTTTAATACTCAGCCCAAGCAAAAGTCTCAAAGTCTTTAAAGTAACACACAATCTTTTTGTGTTTTCCCAGACATTCTCATTCTAGTAGGGATGAGTTGCTATTTCAGTGTGGTTGTTCCTAATCTAGTTGCTTCTGAGCTACAGGTAAAGGCCCAGACAGGGCTCCTATCAGGATATGCTGCCCACCATAGCTTGTGGTGCTGGCAGTTGAATGAAAGTCCTCTTGCCTGCTTGCAATAGCTGTCAATTTGCAGACATCATCTCCACTGAACCTTATCTAGACCATTTGCTTTCACTTTTCCTGGTACACCCCCCCCCCCTTTTCACCAGTCTGACTTAGCATTTGCTTTTTGTAACCTCAAATAGTTGATGGAGTGAGGTTGACTCTGGGCCTCTGGGCAAATCTGTGCATTCTAGTCTAAAACAAGCAACCAAAAAGCCAGATACGATACTGGAAAAGCACAATTAAGTTTTATTAATGAAATATTTTTACTTGATATGAATCCTTGCATTTTTAAATAGCTATCATATTTCACTCAACACAAGGCAAGAATTTGCCATAGTGAAAATATGCAAAATAGTTAAGTAAGACATATATGAAATGAACAGATGAAGACGGCTACTGCTAAGATGGCAACTGAACTATATAGGTTGTTGTTATGATCCTGCACTACTCTTATATCCCTTAAATCACAAGTCACTGCATTTCAATATCCATTTGTTTCAGTCTTTAATTACAATGTTTTATTTTTTCTCTGCAAAGTATGATTCATGAATTTCAACTGTTGCTTTCCTAAATCATCAGGTACTGTAAAATAAAATGATTTCCTGTTGACCTAGTTCACCTTTGTTTTCCGGGATTAAGCTAGATCATAAATATTGGTGCCAATTGAAAATTACATGGAAGAAATATTTTAAAACTTGAATAAACACAGCACTATTATTCAGGCTACTGACATTATTCAGGCTTCTTCTATGATATTTATATTATCTATATCTTTAAAATATTGTTCTCAGCGAATGAAGGAAGATTCCATCAGCTGCTTTTTTTCATATTAAAAACCTAAAATTCAGTATTCCAACTTTTCAAAATGTGGTCTAGATTAAGCAGTTTTGCTTCATATGATGCTACCGTAGTTCTTTATCTCATTAATTTTTGTAAGGGTTTCAAAATCTGTTAAAGCAAAATGTTTCTTTTCTGTTTTTAATTTTTTTGCATTGTTTAAGTCTAAAAAACTTCTCAAATAATCATTTAATTTACCATAAAACTACCAATAGTACATGACATGGTAAGAAGTTTTATAAATATTGTTTTCATTAAAAATGTAGCTTTGCATTGAATAGCTTCAATAGCTTGCATGTATGAAGGCATTCAAATTATTCTTTAATGATGTGAAATACTGATCACTGTCTCTGTGTTTCTCCCACCTTACAGAGCCACATAAGTGAGTCTAAAGGGGAGCTCAGACTTATAAAAAGCACATTTCCACATTATCAACATTATACAGAGCTATATGATAAAAATAAGCTGCTTACAAATAAGGTTTGTTATTTTTATCAATCATGAAGATATTTTGATTAATGCAAGCTAACAAAATGGGCATTATTCAGTTTTATGTGTTTTGACCTTTCTTTATCTCATCATTTTTATAAAGATCTTAAAACTTGTGGATAAATTATTTCTGTTGGAAAAGCAAACTTTTTTTTAAAAGAAATCAATGTTTATTTCAAGAAGCTATGTACCATTCAGCTCTGGAGTGCGTAGGTTCAGTTGATTACTAGGTAGCAGCATAGGGATACACAAAGTTCTATCCCTTTGGCAGTTGGCTGAACATAAAATATATTGTTCTGTATTTTGCCTGTATTTTGCATTTATGCTTACCTGGCAAGACTGATAACTTAGTAGCTAACAAGATTTTAATATTATATATGTTATCATTTACAAAAATGCATTTGAAATACATACTAAACTACTTTTAGAATATTTTTTTAAAAAAATAATGGATACCCTTTCCTTTTTTTAAAAAACCTTCCTATATTTTTCCTTGTAATCTAGCCTTGTTCTATTACGTTAAGCTCACAACTTTAAAATTCTAACTGCTCCCAGTTTTCACATGCTATTATAAGAATTGCATGAAAATTCCACATTCCACAAGAATAGCACATTCCTGTTTATCTACTCAGAAAGAACTCCCACTATGCTCATTGCGTATTGCTACCATAGAAGTAAGCAGTGGCTGTTAAGGGTTATACCATAGGCCTATTAAGATGAATGTTTATTTACTTTATCTGCAAATGTGAACATCTGAAGGAACATTATTAAATATAAGCATCTAACTAGTAACCCAAAAGAGGTGCCACTTTAATTGCCCTTCAGTAAGGAATTGAAAGATTGAAAATTTTACTAAAAATGTTGAGCAACATGTGATTCATTACAGGTTATTGCTGTAGTGATTTTCACAATAGATTCTAAAATTGTTGTTTTAAAACCTGAATTGTCAAAATAAAATAATTCAAATAAGTAAAGGTAACATTACTGCATTTACTTTTAGACTATAATGGCTCATGGCTGCTATCTTTCTGATGAAGAGCTGGACATATTTAAACGTAGAGGAGCTGCCATTGTACATTGTCCTAATTCAAACATATCGTGAGTAATATGGTGTCATAAAGTAATAACACTTTCAAGAAACGAGTTTCTGTTCAATCTTTCCCAATCTGGTACTCTTGGGTTACATATTGAATTATTCTCAGACTCCGAAATAATGAAGATAAAAATGGAGAGCACAGATTTGTGGTAGCTTGCTTTAGAAAATGTCAGTCATGAGTTACATCACAGGTGTCCAACCTTTTGGTGATGAAGAATTGCCTTGGGCCACAATATAAATATATATATTTAAAGTCACAACCCCTGGTATGCCCAAATATGGGAGGAAGGTCACACTTCCATTCTCTGNAGGGTTTCTGAAACTCCAAGTATACAGTATTTGTAAGATCACTCCTATCTCTTAAACATTTAGATGGGTTGATGCTGAATTTATATTAAAATACTTGTAATCTTTTATTACACAAGACATAAATGCATTTTTTTTTAAAAACTTGATTTATGAGGAAAAAAAATTGTAATAGACATGTTGAAGTGGGACTGAGGAAACCTAAATTTGACTCCATTTGACCAAACAGCTCACTTGCTTGTCCGTTTTTCTTAACCAGCAGTGTATTGGGTAGTATTTTTTGTGAAGTTAATCCTAACCCTAACAGTTAATTGATTAAATAAACAATCTCAGAAGAGTCCTAGAAAAACTGCAACAATTAAAGTGAACCAATATCAGTTCACTTCATGGAACAGATCTTTTGATGTGGGGCCCTCACCCTGAAAATTCCAAGATTCCATTAAAAGAAAGGAATAGGACACCCTAAACAAAATATAAAATGAAAGAAATGAAAATATTTATTGAAAAACAATTTGCATCAGAAGAAACTTTATTCTAGTGCTTCAATATTTTACAATGTTGAAATTCTTGGATTCATACTGTATTTCAGTTTTTCTTTTTGTGATGGCATGTTTGTTAAAATTTACAAATTATTAATGTTATCTACTTTTACAATAAAAAAGAACTACATTTGAATATTTCCTTTTCTCTTCCCATCCTAGGATATAATTGAAAAATTCCTGTATGCTGGTAGGTATGCAAGTTATAATTTATACAGATAGTTTCATATGATTGCAATGTGGGTTTTTTCTTCCATGGTTATTAACATATTTCCCTTTACTCTTAAAAAATTCTTAAAATATTGTGTGTGTATATTTAGTACTTATTAACTTTATTGAATATAATGAAATGAGTATCATTATGAACATTAACTATAATGAAATGTTATCATTAAAACTGAGCATTTATTCTTCCATTATGGAAAAATATGTTTTTTAAATCACTTGTAAAAAATGTGATTTCTGTGTACAAAATGCTGGGACAAGATGAATTTACAGATTCAAGACAATTTATTTTGTCTTATATTTTCTTCGTATTCTTGGCATATTGTGTTTGAAAGGATACATATTGCCATTGATCCCTTAAAGTTGAAAAGAATATTATAGATGATTCTCATTGATGTCTTCTTGTACAAATAACTTTTTTCGTATATATTGGCTTTGAACTGAATCCAGTATGTCTTCTAAACCTTTTAACGTATTCAGAGCAGACACCAATCTGGTGTCTTTTAGCCTTGTTGCAGTGAACATGGGGATTCTTGTAATTCTTGTAATGGTTAACCCAAGTTTAACAGAATCAAAATCATTATAAAATAATAATAACCACATCTCAGTAATGGTTTTTTCTTACCTTTGCTATGGGTTCGGAACTGGAAGTGCACATGTGCATGCTCATTTTACTTGCGCACGANCAATCAAACAGATGTGATAGGAAGCTCACAAACATGAAGAAGAGGATGATATTCCTTTTGCATCATTACTTCCTGGAAGCTGATATCTATGGCATGCATAGAGTAGTTTAGGAAGTAGTTAATCAAGAGTAGCACTTAACTTACAGCAGAATTTTGCATAAATGTATCTAATCTCCTTTTAAAATTGCCTAAATTAAGGGCAATCATTGCATTCGCTCATAACAAATTCCATAATTTATTTTTGGAAAGGTAAAAAAAGTGGCTCCTTTTATTGGCCCTCCCCCCATTTACTTTGAATGAATAGTTCCAAGTTCTAACATTGTGAAAGAAAAAGAAATCTGGGTCTATATTTTTCATACCATCCAGGATTTTATTATCTCTATCTTACCTCTTTTTACTGCTTTTTGCTCTAAGTTAGAGCCCTAGAAAAGCTGCAAATTTTCCTTACAAGTCAATCATTTTGGATCCTGTTTTTGCATCTTTTCCAGATCTACAATATATTTGGGAGACATGTAGTAGATTTTATGTCAGAGCTCTTATATTCTTTTGATACAAAACTTTTGGTATTACAATTTTTCATTACTTTCCTAATGAATGCTGGCATGAAATTTGTTTTCTTTTTCTTTTTAATAGTAGCAACCTACTCGATTGACTTTCTCACTTTCCTGTTAATTTTGACTCTTGGGTAACTTTTTTTATCAATTATAGTAGCTCAAATTATATTAATATGTTTGTTTTAGAAGACACGTAGGCCATTTTCCACTTGATTTGATTCCACAGTATTTGCTTCTTAAAAGCCAATTCATTCATTTGAAAAAGCACTGTTGAAATTATTGCAATTTCTTATTGAGATTAGTACTCTTAAACCTAGACTCATAGATAAAATGTGTTGCATCTCTAGTCCTGGTAATTTCACGCCATTTATTAACAAGTTAAAAAGTGCCAATCCGGATGTTAATCCTTGGGGATCCCATTTTANTTAATGTATATAAATGACATAATAATGTTAAAAGTTTACAAACTTGTGGGACCGGATAACTAGATGTCCAGGGCCACAGATTGGATGCATCTGAATTCAATATTGAAAGCATTTGATTGTTAAGCTTTTCAGATATGAATCTTAGGTGTCTGAAAGTGAGACAGGGAACCTAAAATGTACTTATCAATTCCATAAAATAAGTTCTCGTTGTTTCTAATGGTTGATCCATTCAGCCTTCTTTCACATATTTATATAGCAGAAAAATCCAATTTATATGCTTGGATTTTATTGATTTTTATGCCTAAGCTTAAATACCAGGATTGTAGACATTTCAGAAATGATTCAAAAGATCTTTTTAAAAATTTCATAGGACCCCAGCATTTGTGTCCTGTTCATTAAAGCAACCATACCTTTTTTTTCTAGATTTATATGGGAGTCTGAATGGCATTAATTTAAGGGATCCGGTAATTAAAATTAATGTGATTCTTAAAGCAGCCACATCTTTTTTCCAGGTCACAAAAAAGCATGGGAATATTTAAATGAATAGTATTGAAATACTATGTTCTCATTAGTTTTGCAATCTGAATTGTTTTGATTCAGCTGCATTAAATATAACATAGCTTAGTTAATGTGGAACATGCTCATAGCAATAACACTTTATACTTAAATCAATGGCAAGGCTTGTTTTACATCTTGTTCTAGCACTTTGTGAACAGCTTTTAATACATCAACACACCTGCTACATCCTTTTTGTTTTATTTAGGAAAATTATATCCTTTCATTCTTCTGTTTTCAATCTAGATTAAAGAGTGGCCTTTTAAACGCAAGGAAGATTCTGAACTACAATGTAAAACTTGGATTAGGCACAGGTTAGTGATTTATTATGTATTTATTTTAAGGTACTGTTTTAAAAGATTAAAAAAGAGATGGGTCACATACATAAGCACACAAAGCATATGAAATACAGATAATTGTTGTTTATTCACGCAGTGGCCATTTGAAGTTACCACTAATCAAACCTATGTAAAAAGATTCAATAGGAATGTAAAATATTCCATGAACAAAATGGAATTATATAAATAAAATGGAACTTTTTCAGACAGCTGCTTAGGAAAGTGCATAACTATCTTATAAAATATCTTTACAGTAAACATTTTATATATTTATATAACCTCCCAAAGTCACTTGATTGTGAGATGGCAGCTATATAAATATGATGAATAAATAAAACATAATAAACAAACAGTTGAAACCATCTATAGGCCCCTCCAGCCACTGCCTGGTTATCAAATGTTTATAAACATCATCCCCATCATGCCATATCATCTCAGATGTTGACCCTGGATCTGTTTATCATTTGCTTATTTACCATCCATTGAAGAGCAGCTGAGATACAGAATCTTGGCTTTATCCTTGAGATTACAGCTATCCTGAACTGGAATGGCCTGTGGCAAGAATGCTCAACATCTGTCACCTTATTGGCACCACCAGGCCTGCCCCTCATAAATGGGTGGAGGCTGGGCTTCTTTGGGGGAGGAGATTCAGGAGGTGAAATGAGTGGCTTAAGCAAACTTTTTGTCTCACAATTTAAGCTTTGGGACCCTCAGATATATGGTGGCAAGCTGATCTTTGGCAATACTTTTTGCACCTCTGATCTAGAGCATTGATATCCTCCTGTTCATAGTGAATTCCTGGAAGATACATTTAAGTTGCCAGCATGATAAAAAGCCTGGATGAGATCATACCTATGTTGTAATCATAAGCATCTGCCTGCATATTTAATGAAACTTCTGTTTCCATCTAATGCATAAGCCTTCCAGATTGATTGTAATGTTCTGCTCTGTTGTTAGATGTTGCTGGTGGCTATTCTGCTTCCATGCTTGATGCTATCAGAAATGCGATTGTGATATCTAAAGTCCTTCATCATATTAGTGAAGCAGATGAAAAAGTCTTAACTCTGAAGGAGGCATTCCGACTAGCAACTCTTGCAGGAAGTCAAGGTAATTCTCTTCTTTTTAATTGTCTATCCCCAAAACACAGAAATCACATCTGATATTCTAGCCTGGCTTGGAAGAAACTTTTCATTTGGATGTTAGCATATCTTACATCCTAATCACTTCATTATACTAACCAAATGCACCCTGTATGTGTAATTATAGTTTTCTCACTCACGGTTTGTAAAAAAAAAAAAAAAGTTCATGCATCATATAAGACAAAATTAAAAATACTAAATCTCTATAGCTTACTGTGACATTGTTAACAAAACTACTAAAATATGTGTGTGCCCATGTGTTGTGGTAGATACAGTGCCGAATGAGGACCAAGATGCTCTACTTAGCACTACTTTTTACTCTGAAGATTCAATGGTTGATCTTGGATCATTTACTATTTCTTCTTCTCACGTAACTCACATGACAATTTTGTGTGGAAGATTGGAGATGATCTAGCACTGATCCAATATGCTATGAAATAAGGGAGAATATATAGCTATATAACTGAACAAATAGGATTCTCATTTGTTGAGCTCTATAAATAAGTTTAACAAGTTTAAAATATTTGAATGATGTTTTCACAGACTACAAGCATTTAACACGTTATTTTTCATGCTTCTATGGCTGGGATTCAAATTTGTTCCCCTGAAGCTCCTTTTCCTGGTTTGAAATAGATTATTTTATGGTCTATATATCCATAAATTTACTTTGATCTTCTTCTGCTTCTCTTATTAAACTTTAACAGGCATGTGACTATTGATATTCTACTGCCCCCTGCTGTTTAACATGGAAATTTATATTAAACAGGATTAGGAAAAGCACCATAGAAAGACTTACTGAGAGTTTATTTCAGTACTAAGTTACTAAAATTTAGTATTTCAAAAACAGTACTCTTCAGAAATGATGCTGGATCAATTACATGCTGAATGTTCATTCTTCTTTTGGTCATCATCTTTTATTTTAAAGAATTTGAGTCTTTTTTGCCTCTTCTATTATTTAGACTAGAATTATAGTCATAACAAAATTGCAACAAAGAACACAAATGTAACCTCTGTAAATGTATTACTGGGTCCTTTCTATTGATTTCAAAAATCATTACTTGTAGTGTACTTAATATCATGGTGCATAAATAAAGAGATTTTTTTTTATTTGCAGCTTTAGGATTAGATCATATAATTGGAAATTTTGAAGTTGGCAAGGAATTTGATGCACTGCTTATCAACGCCAAAGCTTCAGATAGTCCTTTTGATCTATTTGCTTCTGACCATATTGAGGTAATCAAATACTGCATAACTTAAGTACATTGTATATGTATGGAGGAATCCACACATGATGGAATGTCTAGCAGGCCCTGGGAATAGGCAGGAAGGAAACAAATGCAAGAGAGACACCTCAGCCATGCAGCTGGGGAGGAGCATGAGAAAGAGACTCAGAGTAACTCTGTCTTAAAGTATAAATTGATCTGAGCAGTGTTTCTCAATCTTGGCAACTTTATGATGGGTGGACTTCAACTCCCAGAATTCTCCAGCCAGGATTTGAAGTCCACCCATCATAAAGTTGCCAAGATTGAGAAACACTGCTCAGATCAATTTATACTTTAAGACAGAGTTACTCTGAGTCTCTTTCTCATGCTCCTCCCCAGCTGCATGGCTGA